GTTTCGCCCAACTCGAATGCCAACCCTTCGTGGCCACCAATTAAAGTTGCACAAACCCCGGTCTGACCGGGTTTTGGCAATTTTAGATTATCGCGTAGGGTTATAGCGCATTGGAACACATTGCCTGCAGACGTCGTGATGGCACCGACGTTGAAAGAGTTCGAGCATCGACTTGACGCTCTCGGTCTGCAGTTTAAAGCCTTCCCATTCGTGTCTTAAACTTTTCTTCGTCTATTACGGCTTACGCTTCTTTAACTCATTTTAACTTACATTTTAATATTTCCTACGATATTTGATTAGCTTGTCTTCTCCTCTGTTTTCTTTTCTTTACTGACACTATTGTTTTCTTTTATTCTTCACGTGGCCGTCACAGTGGGGACTGCTAGTGCAGGGCACGTGGGCATTGTTTGGTTGACCATATGAGTCGTGTGTGTTGGTTTGGCTCTCCTTTGGCACATCAAGACACCGGTTTCCCTGTTGGATCAACGACGTCTTCGAAGGTGGAACATTCGCGGGATTTTCCTACTGTTCCGGTCCCAATTGAACTTGAACTTCATTAACGCGATTAAGGAATTAGTGTTTCTTTCACTTCATTCTTGCTTCCTCTTCCCTTCGGCCAACAATGTACAAAAACTCCAAAAAAATCGACAAAAGCTTTTGAATACGCCAAGCAACCGAGAAACTTTTTGAAAACCCTCAAAAATACAAAACGTTTTGAATACCCAAAAAAGAAAAAGTTTTGAAAACACACAAAAATAGTTGCGCTTTGCTTGATGCTTACCTCATCTGGTAGGTGTCGCTCTTGTAGTGACCTGGAGGTTGTCCCGGTGGTCTGTAAAATATTAGTAAAATATGATTTCCTATTTTCTCCCGAGTCTGTCACAGGTACGGCGACACGCACCCAAGGAATTGTCCTCCGTTTCGACAACAATACAACCCTGTCAGCACCATCGGTCACTCGAGCGCACGGATGGGGACACTCATCGGGCGATCATGATATATGTTTATTTATGGAAATGCGTGTTGGCGTAGTATATTAATATTTACAGTCAGCACATTGTTTTTATTATTTTGCTTCATAACGATCGATAATGCTCCTGCCACTCTATGTTTAAATGCACCATTTTATTACTGTGCTACTGGCGCGTAATTGCCATTTCGCTTCTGTGTCTCGCCGAGTTCGCTGATCCGTATTCGGCTATGGATAAGAAGCCTGTGAACGCCTTTTATAGTTGCTCTAACACAACTTTTTATCGTAGAATACGACGAGTTGAAGATGATATACAGAGAGAAGTGCAAGCAGTTATGTCATTACAAGGTATGGGCTTTTTTCGCGGAATGTATTTTCAGCTGCACGGGAGATGATAAGTACTGGACCTACCGCACAAGATGTGCATTCTTCGCGCCATGCCGTGCAGGAACCTTTAACGCACGCAATATCCCCTAATGGTGGAGTCATTCATCACAAATATGAATCGGATGTGTCTTGTGCTTCCTCTTTATTAAATATACGTATGCAAATGTTTCATAAAACGTACTCTTTTAGCCCGTCCAACCAATTTCTTGCGTCCAGCGGGATCGGTTACCTTAGAGGAAATTCTGCGTGACGTGGCTCTGGACGGAAACTTCACTTTGACCCAGATTAACCTCCTTTTGCGCAATCTTCGGCGCCTATATCCTAACTTACCGGTTGACGCTCGTAGCATTTTGAAAACACCCCGTCGGTGTCCAGTGAGATTAATCGGAGGTGGCAGCTACATCCATAGGGGTTTGCAGGACGCCATACGTGACGTGTTGCGCAGAACGCATTCACCCCGTCCGTCATTGCTAAAGTTGCAGATCCATATTGACGGAATGACCGTGTTCAAAAGCTCGCGCAGACAACTGTGGCCAGTACTTGGAAGGCTGATAAATCCGCCAAGCGATGTGTTTTTAATTGGTCTTTACAGTGGATTATCAAAACCTATTAATGTGCATGAGTTCCTGCGGCCAGTGGTGGATGAATTGATGGATGTGTTACGCAAAGGTGTCTGCTTGGGTGATAATGATGATGCTATAGATATCGTGCTGGACTGCGTGATAGCCGATGCACCTGCACGAGCATATGTTCGGCAGGTGAAACAACATTCCGGATATTTCGCCTGCGAGAAATGCACAATAAAGGTAAGCGAAGCGTAAAGTTTGATAAACATTTGCAGGTTCGCACGTTGATGGTAGAATGACCTTCCCTACCGAGCCCCAAAGCTCATTACGTAATGACATGGATTTTAGAACACGAAAACAACCGGAACATCACATCGGCGAATCACCTTTTGAGGCTCTACGGATTGATATGATAAGTTGTTTCCCACTTGATTACATGCACACCTTGTGTCTGGGAGTAACACGGAAGTTAATAATGCTTTGGCGCTGCGGCCCAACACGTGGAAACATACGATTGCCATCAAGATCTATCGACATTATCAATGAACGACTTCGCATTTGTTCGGCTAACCTGACGTGCGAGTTTCCGCGCAAATGTCGCACGTTTGAGGACGTGGAACGTTGGAAGGCCACGGAATTCAGACAGTTTCTTTTATACCTGGGCCTCGTAGTTTGGCGCGGCGTGTTGCCCGAAGACCTGTACAATAATTTCGTTATGTTATTCGTCGCCGCATACATTCTGTGCTGCCGTAGGTGGTGTTCACATTACCTTTCGCATGCGAAATCAGTATTGATTAAGGTGGTGCGTGACATCGCGAAGCTGTACTGTGAGAAGGAGGTGGTCTTCAACGTGCACTGTTTAGTGCATATGTGCCAGGATGTCGGGCGCCTCGGACCCACGGATAATTTTTCCGCATTTCCCTTCGAATCGTTTCTACGACGGCTTCGAAAGCTCATAAATGGCTCGACGTCTGCGACGTCGCAAATTTTTCGTCGCGTAACGGAGCGAAGGTTAACCAATGTCACAGATGATGGCGGTTGTTTGGACGACACTGGATCCACCGTAATTATGCGTCGTGGTCGGCAACAAACCAGTTTCTTACATTTCGGTGCGCTGATTACGAATGCGCATCCAAATAATGCTGTCATCGCACGTGGAAGACCTTCGGTAGTGCTGGGCCAGCGTGCTAATTAGTTATGTGTGCAGCATTTCACACAGACTATGTCGCTGTTCGTAAAAAGTTTGCCGTCCACGGACCTACGTATTTTTAAATGTTGGGGTTCCTTAGCTCCACCGACATGGATTCCATTGAGTGCAATCGGCTGCAAATGTCTGAGATTGCCGTGCGATGAGTACATTGTATTTTACCCCATCGTTCACAGCTGGCGGCACAAGGATATGAAGAAACATCCGACGTAGGTAAGCTGTCTTAAATATGATAAATATGATAAATGTTATATTCCTCGGTGTTTCGAGGTGCAGTCCAACTATGTGGTCTGATCAATGTGTACAACAAGATCGCAAAAAAAATAATCAATTTGTTCACGCTTTTTACAATGGATCCAAAAACAGGTACTAAACTAATTGGCAGGATTAAGGCATTAAAGAAAATAAAAAGCAGGAAAAATAACGTAAGCAAATTTAAACAGATGTCCAGTTAAAGTAATACGGCCACCCGTGGAACCATCCCCAGGGGACCTGCTTCCATGCAAGGTATTCCCTCGAAAGGTTTCGCTCGCACTTCCATGCAATAACTGGCCGTGTGCCGGTGTGGCATAGTAGCATATGAGCCATCACCTGTATATCATATGTTTTGTTCATTTTAGAGCTGTTTTTGAACATGTATTATGGGCCATGAAGGTTCAGCCCAGTCCGTCATGCGGATCATTCTATTATGGCACTTTTTTATACGCCAGAGAGTTGGTGGCAATTTGCCTTGCATAGGTAACGTCTTTTATAATCTGGAAGCTGTAATCCGTCACCACAGGAGATCATCCCATTCGTGGCCAACTATGAAATAAGGAAGAATATGGAAAAGAAGAATTCTGTGAAAGAGGTACTATATCGTTAATGTAAGAAATAGGCAGGTATGTTTTGTACATCATTTATTTATTTGCTTCAGTTAACAGTCCGTTTTATACTTTTAACCTGGGTGCGCAAAATCGTTGTACAACACTAACGGCGTTGCGCGGTTGCTGTTACGTTTTAAGCACCATGGAATACACTGCATATGCTGCTGCACCTGGTATCGCAAATAAAAGTTTCCCCGCCGAACACATTTACCTCTTCTAATAAGCTCGTAGAAATGCTGTGCTCTGACCCCTTTTTTTAGATATATCGCGTGGTCGAATTTCAAGATTCTTCCGTTGCGGTGGTTCTGTCATCCTGGATGATTAATAGTGAGGAAGTTCTGTGGGGACGGTTATCATCAAAACAGTTACAGGATTTCCTGATGCACCGTCTGCCACCACCTGCGTCCGCTGTGACGTACAAAGTACGAATACACAGTTGTACAGGTGAGGTCACAGAACGATTTATTTATACGCATTTTTAGATGATTACCTTGAGGCTAAAAATTTGGAACAGAGCTTGCTAACATCAGCCGAATTACCATCTAGCGACGCAACGATTCCAATGCTACGATGGGGGAAGCGAAAAATGTATGTTGTAGATAGATAGTATATTATCGCAGCACTGTAAAAACCTTTCCTGACTGTGAGTCCCCGCCAATCGCAACGCGGGGTACTGTTGAAGTCGTGAACTTGGATTTATCACCTCCACCACCGAAGCTGTATTTGGAGGAGGAATTAAACGACGGTTCTGATAAAGAAAATGGATACCTATCAGCCTATCCCCATACATCCAGGTAAACAATGCATTTGTTTTTACACTCGTAGTCCGATTCACCAAGACGTTGCTCAGCCTTAACCTGTTTGCGGACTATCCTATGACAGCGCACTGCTGTTGGAAATGAATGGTTGGTTCACAGCGTCTCCGAAACATTTACTTGCAGCCACATTGCGGAACGTAAATCGCGAAGTGATGAAACTGCGCGAACGAATGACTGCTGTTGCGTTGTCCTTGAACGCGCTGCATGCACTTCAGGCGCCAAGTTCCAGCAACGCGTGTCCATTTCCATTACCAATGGATACAATAGCGCAACTGTCATTTTTAAATAATGCACTGGAGAACGCTGAGTTCATGAACAGCATGGTAAGTCTCATGGAATTTCACTTATTCGTAGGTGCACTATTTATCCAACGTAAGCGGCCGGACAACCTCAGAAAGTGTGCGGAACGTCATGCTTACTTGCATGACTAACAACTTGGTCAGACATGTGAACTGGCGTGGTGTGCATGAGAAGTATAAAATAGCGAACACACCATTCGCGAGAGCGGTCCTTGGTATGTTACCTTATAAACCACATTAATATCTTCACCAGATTCCATTATGAGAAAAAACATACCAGGATGCACAGAGCCTGATATTGTTGATAAGTTACGACGCTGGATACAACGAATTAAAGAGCGTGAATCGTGGATACGAAAGGAAACAGAACGGTTAGCACTGGAAAATTCCGCTTTGTAAATTATGAGATCCATATTACACTATGTTTTCGCGAACTGTGTTATGTTCATGGCATGCAATGTGTGCGACCGCATTAACGTGCTTGCAGTGGTATGGGAAGGGAGGATAATGCGGCTAGGCTTTACCCGTTACGGCTGGAAATCGTGGAAATGTGAGCGTGCGAAGGGAGGCGCCACGTTATTTTTCTCCGCGAGCGCCCGATGAGTGACACAATTTTGTGCCACTCGGGCGCCCATCGGGCGCTCGATCGGTCACCCAACGGGCGCCCATCGGACATCCAACGGGCGTTCATCGCACACTGGTGCTGAGTGGGAAGGCACACAGGTTCTTTACCTGGACATGGGCGGAAAATTATCAACCTTTTTACAACATACTTACCGGACAAATCAATCAATATCTTGCACTGATACAATTCTTCCGCGGCATGAAGCACTGAGTTCAATCTACCTAACAATACTTCTTCTACATATCTCTTGACTGGAGGACTTTCGACTACGGAAGGCACATTCTCCTGCCAATACAAAGCTTGAACAATCGGTCATTCTAAGCTCTTCAATCCGCTTTGACCGCTCAAATGACCGTGGTGTCCCCTATCTCTAATCAATTTCACTACATACCCCGGGGATCTGCGATTCTTTCTTTGGAACCTATCCTGTCCTCCAAGACTTCAACATACTTCAACGTATGTTCTTCAAGACTTCACGTGGTTCTGCAGATGATCAACGCAGCATATCCAGAAAGAAGGCTTAGTTCCTGACCTACCGATCTGGCACAGGAGAGGACCCAGGCACGCAAAGGCCACTCGCATAACGAATCAGTCAACAGAAAAATGGGATGCAACTTGACTGCGAATAACGGAGCAAATAAACGTTCAACAAGAAACATAGCCAGTTACAACTTGCCATTCAATGGATTGGCGGCAGTGTTTCAGGACGTGGTGGGTTTTCGCCTGGCAAGCGTTCTCCCTATAAAAAGCCACAAATGTCCGTTTAACAACACTGCAATGTGGCGAATGTGACTCGCCACCGAATAAAGTCACAGCCCATAACTTCACACTGGCAGCTCAATTAGAATCTTCATACTGGATAGTTTGCTCTTCAATTATCTCCCAATGGATCACTCAGGATTATCAATCTATTATTAGTCGAGGTATGACTGCGATATATGGCAGAGCGATTATGTCCAAACAAATGGATTCCGATCCCACTGCAACCAAATCGTTCTTTCGCATGTTCACCATCGCACAGTTCCAAGCATGGACATATGAACAATTTTCTACTGTCACTACAGTTCCCATAAAATGTCTGTACAGCTGTATATTCCTGATCATGCCTCAATTGGCGTACCTCGCATAGTCGAGAATAAAATATTTATTTATTTATTTATTTAACCTAGGAAGCTTGCCGGTTCGCACGATGAGAGCGTGTGTGTTAGTCGTCCAGATGAATCACATTCGCGTGCTTCTGGCTTTTTCGCCTCAAGGGCGTTTGTTACGTCTCGGCTGGCGACTACACATTTTCCCTAGCTAGAGCCATCATTTCGTGCATATTTCGGGTTCCATATCGCTTACTTTTTATCATTTTTCTGCTATGGATACCTGTCACCCCGTCCTCAATGGCCAGGTTGAAAATCTAACCAATGTTACTCCGCCCTTTCGCAAAAGCAAGTCGAAAATTTGATTTGCTCATTTGGACGCATTGTTCTAATTTCGTGGCATTAGATCTGAAGGAATCAAATATCTCCACCTCGTCTCCGCGCTTCATCCGCACGTCGCAGATGCTATCGACGATACACTCGAGTTGCCAGCAGAGAGGAAAGCTTACGAGGAAATTAAAGCCGCAGTGCTCAAAAGTACACGTCTTTCAGATCAACGTCTCAGGAAACGACTGAGCGGAACGGAGTTGGGTGACCTCAAGCCATCGCAGCTATTGCGTAGGATGAAAAGTTAAGTTAAACCCGACATGGTGGACGACACATTACTCAAAGAAAGGTGGCTGCATAGATTACCACGTGAAATGTGCAAAATCCTCTACGCAACTGCTGGCGCATCCCTAACGGATACCCAATATCGCAGCCCATCTTTGGGAATCCCGCGGCCAGATTTCCCAAGTATGATCCACGCCGAAATACGACATTGCCGAGAAGAAAGCGCAGATTGCCGCAGTCGCCAAGAAGTTTACCGATTTCACAAGTTCTGGGAGTAGCTGCCGATGTCAATCATCAAGTCGTCAGCGTCCATTTCTATCAAAATTACCGGCGAAATCGCCGCGCCGAATGTTTAACTACTGCTGGTACCAGCAGCACTTCGGCCTGCAGGCCAAGTCGCGCCGCCCACCGTGTTCCTTCAAACGCAGCTGGCAGGGGAAACGAGCCGACCAGCACGTAGGGAAGACGGGCGTAGCTGTTCAACACACTCGCCCATCCTTCGTCACCGATCGACAAACGTGAGGTTGCTATCCCGTCGACCCTGACGCAGAAGTCAACGTCCTTCCACGTGATCCCAACTACGCAACCTGAAAGATGACTGGTTCTACGACCAGCTAACGGCACCAGTATCCGCTTCTACGGTCAGCGCTCATGCAAGCTTAACCCCCGTCTGCGACTTTCTTTTTGATGGCATTCCATGTCGCTGACGTCCAAAATCCCATTATCCGGATGGATTTTCTTCAGCAAATCGACTTGCTACTCGGGACTAAACAACATCGTCTCATTGATCAGCCAACAAAACTTTCCGTCGCTGGAATTTCCGGCGATGTAGCATCGCTAAGTCCGACTTACCCAACGGCGAATTTACCGGCCGGCAAGGTGCTACTTGAGAGTTTTCCTTCAGCCTTCCGACCTTCATCTTCTCCGTAGACTGTAGCCGCAGCTAAGCCGCATCACATAGATACCAAGGGTCATCCTTCCTCAGCCAAAGCCGAAGAGTGATTCCAGACAAGCCCAAAACCGTTCGTGCGGAACGCGAGCACACGTTCGAACCTAGCATCTTTCGACCCACCAGCAGCCCTTGATCTTCCCCCTTAAACATGGTTCCAAGCAGAGCAGGCGACTGGCGACCAAGTGGCGATTACCGCGCCCTCAACCCCGTGTCAACCTCGGATCGTTATCCTATTCCTCACATACAGGATAGTAAGTCCGGTCTTCATGGCGCTCGCGTGTCCTAGAAGATCGATCTGGTGCGAACTTATCATTAGATCCCGTTCGCCGACGAGGACATACCGAAAGCCACCGTTATTACACCACTTGGCTTATTCGATTCGCTAAGGATGCCACTTGATCTGTGCAACGCCGCGCAGACACTTCAACGCTTCATCGACTCTGCCGTACGTGGACTCGACTTCGTCCACGTGGTTCCAGCTTTGTGGTTCGGGTAAATTCCGTTCCAGCAAATGCTTCGGCGGCAGTGTTCCAGGATGTGGTGGGATTTCGCCTGGCAAGCGTTCTCCCTATAAACAACCACAGATATCCGTTAAACAACACCGTGGCTCGCCACTAAATAAAGTCACTGCCTTTTCCATTTTCCGGAGGATCATTCACACATCACGAAAGTCATCCAATTCGAGGCGTTCCATTGATTCCCGCTTTGATGACGAGCACAACGAACAAAATCACACATGGAGTCACCTTTACCCACTCACACAGCATGGCCCCTTCCAAATACACAGTTAAACATAGTTTTACATGTAAACACACACATACATTCCTATGCTATTTGTCGAATTGTACTAATTTGTGCAACTGCCGATCATACTTGTCTGTATTACCATGCTCACGCCATTGATGGCGTGCCTGGCAAGGACGAAAATAAACGATTTATTTATTTATTTACATCGACGACATCCTGATGGCCACTTCTTCAGAAGAGGAACCCCTAGCACATGTACGACTCTTGTCCGAACGGCTGAAGGCGCACGACGTCACCATCAACCCTGACAATTGCTTTTGCATGCAGCCGCACATTGACTTCCTCGGACATCAACTTGATTCCGAGGGTATCCGCCCTTTACAGGGCAGAATCCAGGCAATTCGCTGGTTTCCTCATCCAAAGACTCTAACCGACATTCGGCGCTTTACCGACATGGTCAACTACTATCACCGCTTCCTGCCACGCTTCGCCGAGTTTATGCAACCGCTCACCAGCCTGCGTGGACGCAACTGCGGTAAATTTGATCTTACACCTGAAGCAGGAAAAGAATTCGAAGCTAGCAAGGAAATACACACTTCCACCGCCATGCTTCATCACACTGATTCGAACGCTCCAACCAGTGTAGCCGTCGACGCCTCGGAAAGCGCCAACGGCGCTGTTCTACAGCAGCTTTCCCAAGGCAATCGGCAACCACTAGCGTTCTTCTTCCGACTTCTTCAGACAGCCGAGTCGAAATACAACACGGTTGGTTGCCAGTTACTCACCGTACACTCAGCGGCAAGCCATTTTCGTCATGTTCTCAAAAGTAATCATTTTACTATCTTTATAATCACGATCCACTGTTCTGGGCCTTCCGGAACCATCCCCCAACACTCCGCGTGAAGTTAGTCAACTAGATTTCGGGTCTCAGTTTTCGACAGACGTCCAACACGTGTCTCTCAAGGATAACGTTATGACGGACAAGCTTTAATAGTAAACCCGCTGGCGCAGACAGATCAGTCGCTCGACCTGTAACCTATGGCATCTGTTCGGCAAGCCGGTAAAGGCTTCACGACATGCTGCGAATAGTCCACCTTAACGTTCGTACCTACACCGTTTCCTTCGTCTACAGGTACAATAAGCTGCAAAGTCATTACCGGACATCTGCGTCCAATAGTACCGACTGCCTTTCGCCGAAAACTCTTCGATACGCTGAACGACATAGCGCATCCTGGCATCCGTGTTTCAGTCAAGTTGATTGCCGACAAATACGTCTGGCCCAACATGCAGCGCGACGTCAGACTTTAGGCGAGCAACTGTTTGCCTTGCCAGCGAGCAAACGTTCATCAACATGTTGCGGCTCCGATAGGATGCTTCCCGTCACAATCAACTCGATTCGCTCACATCTACCTCGAGACCTCTGGGTCACATCCGCCGTCCAAAGGCATGGTCTATATCAGGACCAGGGTGGATTGCGCCACTCGTTGCCCTGAAGCTGTTCCAATTCCCGATGTATCAGCTGAGACCATAACGCGAGCAATCGTCGAACGCTGGTTCACTTCACATGGCTCTCCGGCCACTGTGAATCCAGACAGTGGTCCACCATTCGAATCG